AGATGGGGCAAGCCAATGGTCGAGCCAATGGTCGAGCCAATCGTCGAGCCGATCGTCCCCTTCGGCCCGGTTGAACCGGATGGACCGGCAATCGAGGTCTGCAATCCGGTTCAACCCAACGGCCAAATCGCTTTAATCAGATCCGATCAAGTTGGTCGCACCAGTCTTCGTCAGTCTGCATCGCGAACTCAACGTCGAATGCAATCGAATGTAATCCAATAGATTCTATTATAATGCAATCTAACCCAATGCACTGAAATGCAATGCAATGCAATGCAAAGCAATACCATAAACTGTAATTCAATTTAATGCAATAGAATGAACTAAAATGCGATGCAAAGCATTAGAATCCAAATCGATCCAATCCAATGCATTGTAATACAACGCGATTAAATGAAATGTAATGTATTGAAATGCACTACACTGCAACACCCTGTTATACAATCCAATCAAAGGCAATCCATTGTAAAGTAATCCACTCCAATCCAATCAATTGTGGTAGAACGAAATGCCATTCAATGAAATGTATTACAATGCAATGCAATAAACAATCGTACAACTCAATGCGTTGTAATGCAATGCAAAGCAATACCATACACTGTAATGCAATTCAATGCAATAGAATGAACTAAAATGCAATGCGAAGCATTTGAATCCAAAACAATCCAATCCAATGCATTGTAATACAACGCGATTGAATGAAATGTAATGTATTGAAATGCACTACACTGCAACACCCTGTTATACAATCCAATCAAAGGCAATCCATTGTAAAGTAATCCACTCCAATTCAATCAATTGTCGTAGAACGAAATGCCATTCAATGAAATGTATTACAATGCAATGCAATAAACAATCGTACAACTCAATGCATTGTAATGCAATGCAAAGTAATACCATACACTGTAATGCAATTCAATGCAATAGAATGAACTAAAATGCAATGCAAAGCATTAGAATCCAAAACGATCCAATCCAATGCATTGTTATACAACGCGATTCAATGAAATGTAATCTATTGAAATGGACTGCACTGCAACACACTGTAAAACAATCCAAGAAAGGCAATGCACTATAATCTATTGTAAAGCAATCCAATCCAATGCATTATAATACAACGCGATTCAATGAAAGGTAAGGTATTGCAATACACTGCGCTGCAACACACTGTAATACAATCCAATGAAAGGCAATGCAATATAATCCAATCCAATCCAATCCAATCTTCTCCGTTGCGGTAAAACGCAATGCGATTCAATCAAATGTATTGTAATGCAATGCAATAAACAATCGTATAACTCAATGCATTCTAATGCAATGCAGGTCAATCTAATGATGGTGTCAAGTTTGGGTCCCGCCGGTGGTGAATGCGGACAACTGAGCCGCGGTCTCAAGTAGGCGCTGGAGGCAGAGTGTCGCGAGTCACAAGCAACGCCACGAAAGCGGGTTCGTCCCAATTCGCCCGTGCCTCGAGGCTTGACAAGCATCTCCACCCATTCGAGCCCGGCTTCGGACTCGTTCAAGCCGGCCTCAGACACGCATTCGCCCGGCACGAGTCTGCAGTCATCAGAAAACCGACTGCTGGCGACGTTGTGCGTCGAGCAGCGTCGCTCGCTAATGCAGATTACAGAAGTGATTCACACGGCCCAGGCCGCTTGGGGCCAGTTAGGCACTTCCAACTGAGTCCGCCGACAAAATCACATGACTCGGCCGTAAAATGACATTTAATTCCATCGGCCCATCTCCCACAAAAGCTGTTCGCATCCCAACTGGACTGGATTGGACCGGGCCTCCGCTTCGACCCCGCCTCAACTGGTCCCCCCCACATCCCAGACGGGACTCGAACCCGGCTTGTGTTGCCCCCCGCTGGACGGACGCCATGGCCGTTCGGGCATAGGACAAAAGTGAATCTCGATACAGACTGGGCCTCTCGTCCATCACACTGTTATAGTCGGAGCAAACATGCATTTGCCATTAGAGGCGACAGCACTACTTGCATTTGTAATGAGTAGGATCTCGAGACTGTCGACACACTTTTCCCAAATCGCCGATCGTGATGAATGGCTTTTAGTGAATTCTGCCACAACAGCATGAAATGTATCCACCGATGGAACTGGTAGCCGAATTTTCCCCACAATTTCATGAGTAGACCTTACATTTCCATTGAAGTTCGCATAACTTACCTTTTACAAAAGATGTTCTCATCCACACTTCATACATAAATGGCTGACTACTACTACTAGTAGTAGTAGTAGTATTATATATATTTATATATGTACATGTATACTAGAAACATATATAAAATACACGTTTACTTCTGCGACACTCCCAGCAAACAAAATGTGGAATGCACTCCTGCTCTGTGGCAGTGTCGCGCAGTGGTAACTGTATGCCGCCCCACCTCAACCGAGGTTCGAGTCCCGCTGGGGGTGTAGACGAGATCCAGACAAAGTCGAGACGGCAGTCCAGTCAAATTCAGCCTGAATGCGAATAACTTTTGGGCGACGATGCAGGCATTA